GGGTGCCCACATCCTGTTTTGCCTCTTTATCTTTCCTCCTCTTCTTTCCTACATTTTCTGCTTTGGGGGCCTTTTCTGGTTGTCCTTTGTTTTCTCTTCTCCTGTGTCCCAGCCACCTGTTCCCATTTTCTACTTCTGATTAGTTGGAATCCTGAGACTTCTTCTGTCTCTGCCTACTACTGGTGTATGTGTGAGGGTTTGGGGGATGGGGTGCGTAGCTAGGGACTGGGACCGCTTTTTCCTAGTGGAGTAGGATGTACAGCATGCCCCCCTTTAAGTTAGACAAAAATCTCTGAAGATCAGTAATTTCCAGTGGGCGGGAGGCTGAAAGCAGAGACCTTGAATCCTGAGGCCCCACCTGGTGCTCAGCCCCACCAAGACTGGCTCCAGAACTTTCGCAGACTCAATAAAGCCCACTGCCTAGAGGCCACCTTAGAGGAAGCACGGGGTGGATGCCTTCCAGCCCAACTACTCTCTGGAGAATCAGAAAAGGAGCTGGCGAAGAACCACGTACTCTTGAAGACAACTGTCTGAAGTGTTTGTGGAGGGCAGCGATGTGGCCCTCCTGCCTCAGTGTCCAAAGTGACATGTCCTGCCTTTGCACGGACAAGACCATGGCCACTGCCGGCCTTAAAGGTCATGTTAGCCTGGGGTTCTTTCCTTTTCTTTTCTCTGGTCAGGGCATCAGAAATTGCTGCGTGGTCCTATTCTTAACGAAGTTGCCTTTCAAATTTTTCCGGGGCCGTGTGCTGTTGGGTAAGAATTGCCGCTGCCACAGTGTAAGAAACTGCATTGCTTGACTGTGCGGTGCGCACACACGCGCTCCTGCACGGCAGTTCCCTTTTGCTGCAGCTTCCTGCCTCTCTGGGACTCACACATAATGTGATCTATTTAAGTATACATACATGTATAAAAAATGTCGCCCCAAGCCTTCTTCCTGTCTTGCTGTCAGCCACAAAGGCCCAGAGCCCGGCACCTCTGTGTCACCAGGGCCAGAGGGGCCAGGCAAGCAGAGCTGTGGGGGAGGGCC